GGTGGCGTGATAGTGGGATGAGCAGGAAAGGGCTGGGACACGCCCACTGGCCACGCCTCCGAGATGTGGACACTCCCCCGTCGCTGGGCAGGCCACGCCCACTCCGCCTGGCTGTCCTCGTGTCCTGCTTTAGGCTGGGACGGAGTTAACTTTCTTTATAGCAGCTAGTGCAAGGCTGTATTTTGGATTTGTGCTCAAAAACAGCACAAATGGTGTTTATCGTTGTTGCCAACACAGTCAAGGACTTTCCAGCTTCTCTGCTGTGCCCGTGTCCGGAGAAGCTGGGAGGGAGCACAGCCCCAATTCCTAGCCTAGGATTCAACTTCAGGTTTAGGATTGAGACCCAGATTGGCCAATGGTATATTCCACATCATGCATGTCATGCCCAGCATAGAGATGAGGCTCTGTCCAAAAGTTCTTGCTCTGTGAGTTGTCTCACTCTCTCAGTCTGCTCTCAGTCTCAGATGCTTGGGCTGTTACCTCCCTTCTGGTATTGCACTTTTGGGATGCTGCCTGCTCCAGGATCATCATCCGGGAATGGGCTGAGCCTTTGTCATCAGGTGGTGAGCAGCATCACTGTGTATCACTCATTTTCATATTTGTATCTATTACTATTGTTATTATCCTTATTATCTTCAATATTATTGCAGTTTAGTAATTAATTTGTTCTTATCTCAATCCACGAGTCTCTTTTCCCTTCGCCCCTTTAATTCTGTCCCCCATCCCAGGGAGGGAGGAGGGTGAGCGAGTGGTTATTATGATGTTTTGCTGCTATCCAGGGTCAAAACCATAACAGAGTCCTTTTCGCCACCTAATGTGGGGTTCAAGTGGTTGAGATAAGGACAGACTTGGCCAGAGTGTATTAAAACAAACTTTTGATAAGCATTCATTATGTTTCCTAAAGTGTCACTGTGGAGAAAACTGGTTTTGTTTTTTTATGTGTGCTGGGACTTGGCTTTAGAGCTCCATGGTACAGCACCTTGTTTCTGTATGTGCTGTTTCTCAGTGTGGCAGTAGTCTGTAGGTGTTGGATGAAGAACATCGTGTTGCTCATGAGCAGTGCTGGTTTGTGGTGCTGTTGTGTCGCTGTTTGCTGGATAAGCGCAGTATCCAGCACGAGTTTATCTGTTTACGCAATGACCCCGCAGCACGGGCTTCCTTTCCGGGCTGTGGCGCCCTCTGGTGGACACGGTTGCCCATTACCCGGCAACCAGTCGATGGCGGAGGGTGACACGTCCCTTCACGGTCCCGTGCTCCTCCAGACCATTTTCAAAGGCTTCTGCGGGTTTTGAAAATCGTTGGGATTTTCAAACCAGTTTGAAGCTGTTGCTAGGCCTCCTGGATGTATGTTGATTTATATATTTCACCCACGGTTAGGCCATCATCTCCCCACTTATTAGGGTTCAGCAACTATTTGGAAAAATCATCCAGTGCATTACCAGTGCTACCGCAATTGCCACCTCTGCCCCTGCAACAGATATCACAGCAACGCCAACAGCTGCGACAGCTACAGCTGCAGCCACAACCGCGGCACCCGCATCTGCAGCTGCTGTGCCCCTGGGGCAGATGTGCCCAGGCAGCGCCAGGAGAGGCCAGAGGGACCCTGAGCAGGGAGAGGGCATCCGAGGGCAGGGCAGGCAGGTACCAGTTACACAGCCTGACCTTGCTCCTGGTTCAGCCACCAAGCGCTGCACTGCCACAGGCTACACCTGCAGCAGGGA